TAATTTCGCTTTAGGACATCGTGCTGTCACGAAACACGATCTATTGATAAGTTTTTCTGCACTTTACTGTTATTTTATCCAACAATTTATTCATCTCAAATTTATTACACCAAACGAACAATGTTTCCTTTATTTTCTTATGTTTTAATTCTCTCAACAAATAATTTATTTGAAAAATGATCTAATTACTAATTATTTTATTACTAAATTAAAAATTATATTTAATTAACTAAAATATAGCATTTATTAATAAACTTTAGAAATCATTACACTTAATACCACAACTAAAAAATATTACATTTAACATCACAATATTATAAAAAATATTACATATAATAAAATTCACACCGAAACATAACGGATCCAACTCTATATGGTTTTTTTTGAAATGAACAAAAAAAGAATTTTACAAAATAAGAACTCAACAAGAAGGTCAATAATCTCAAAATACGTTTTGTCCTTTTGGTCATTATTTTGATGGTTTTGGAGGATTCAAAAATTATATTCCAGATTACTAAATTATTGTTTTAATTAATGTTGTATTTTGCTCTAAATTTTAGTTTGCAATATTTATGTTGTTGAAGTGCTAATTTCTTTTTAAATTATTGTTGTTTTCAATACGGTAATTAGCGAAATACCACTATAACCTTCAGTGGTTTTGCCCAACCTTTCATTTTGGTTCAAAACCTCTCATATCAACCAAACTTTGCGTAATACAACCCTACCATCAATGTCTTTTGATTTCTCGGTTAAACTGTCTTGTGAAAGCCAAAATCAATAAAACATAAGGGCTTTATTGTCTCAGCATTTCCCTATTTTTGCTTAAAGTACCAAATTGCTGAAATTGTTCCTATGTAACGTATGAAAAATGGATAAAGAATTAGGACATGAGGGACAAATTATTTAAAAATTTGCACTAAATGAACAGTGTTTCACCAAATTACTTCAAAATGATACTTCAAAAAATATATTAATCACAGAATTTTTAACGTTGGTCAAAAAATGTGGTCAATTTTGAACATTGAATCACTTTTTGCTCAATGTTGATAAAATCCTTTATTCAACAACTTTCGTCAGACGAGGTTACCCGTAAAGTTGTCACAGTGTGAGTCGTGTCGATTCAGAATTGTCCACCAAACGTTACAAAAAAAATATATGCCATTTTCAACAGAATTGTTTGTTTTCTAGTAGCTGCACTTATGTTAGGAAACAGTGTTATATATATTATTTATTTATTTATTTTGGTGTCATTTTGAAGTGATGTTGTGGTTAGAACTTAGAAGATCAGCCAATTATATATAAACTAGTCTAATACCCGTGC